TGTGAGGTAATACAGGAAAGATGGTTAGCCCAGAGCTTGGCTCAGAGGAGGGAGTAAATGTCCTACTCCTGAAGCTGCCCCCACCATCCAGCATGGGGAGGTCATCCGGGGCCAAAGGGAAGGTATTAGGTATCAGGGAAAGGAAAAGAGAGTTTGTCTAAAGAGCTCCGTGAGGAGGGGGCCTGGATCAGCTTTATTAACCATCATATCTTCACTGCCCAGCGCAGTGCCAGCCTCAGCCAGCTCTCAGGAGATGTTTGTTAGTGATCGAGGGATGGACTGAATGAATGAAAGAGAACTGCTCCTGGCCATGAATTGGGGAGGGGAGGCGAGGGAAGGGGGTATTGACTTTCTTTGAGTTTGAGTTAGGAAGTTGGAGACATTGATTTAATGAAGATCGATTGATAATAACTGAGTAACTTATTAAATTAGCTTAAATTTAATACATTAGATTTAACCCACACTGCTCCAGATCAGTTCACTGATACATGTTTGGAGGCTATACTTCACTGAGCAGTGAAATAACGAGTTCTTATGTTTCCTGTTATGTAAAAGGAAAGCAGAGAAGTCCTTGTAACGTCCTCTGTGCTTACGACAGTGATCAGTGTCAGAAACCCTGGAAATGGGAACGTGCCTTTATTCCGGGACAGCAAGGATGGGGTGCTGGGGGGCTATTGGCCACCCCAGAGGAAGGAGCAGCCAAGGTTCCTTTGTGGAGCTTGCAGTTTGGCCTCTGGTTGGTCACCTTCTACTCCTCATAGTCTGTGCAGTTCAGCAGGTGATTGATTTCTCAGGCACTTCCCCTGCCCTCCTCTCCTACCTCAGCTCCATCTGCTTTTCCCTCACCTTCTCTGCCCTGGACACATTGGTCTTTTTTGCCTATCTGTTCTCTGAGCACACCAGGCTTGCTGGATTACCAGTGCCCTTGCTGATTACCTTTCTGGGCGTGTTTGTCCTCCATACTCTCACACAGTGCCCTTCCCATTTCTAGAGAGGTCTTCTGAAAGCACTCTGTCTGTCTAAAATAGCACCCTTTCCATCTCCATCACTGTGTTCCCTTCTTGTGCTTGATTTTTCTTCAGAGCATCAATAAGTACCAGGCATAATATATCCTTGCTTGATTTTGTCTGTCTTCCTCACTAGAGTGACACATTGTTAAGGCAAATGAGATGCTTAAAACATTGCCTGGCGCGTTGAAGGCACTCAGAAATTGAGAAGATGCTGCAATTTCTTTTAGAAAAAAATTAATCTGGGGAATATTCCCAGGATCAAATTGTGATCTTATATATAAGATCATATATACATATACATATATATATGTGTGTGTGTGTGTATGTATGTATGTTTCTGTAAATGAGATCCCAGTTTATAAGTGTGTGGGGGAGAGAAATCTTCTCTTAAAAATTCTTTTCTTCCAAAGATTTACTTGTAAATTGGCTGCTGGGAATTGAGAGCATGTATCACATTTTCTAAAAAAGAATTCTTTTATTGACCTAGAAATATACCTACCTCAAATTCAAGAAATTCAGGCACACATGGAAAAAATGCTTTCTGATTGATGACCCTGCTATTTTATTTATTTCTAGCTCTCCTTTTTCTAAAAAAAGATTAAGTCCATTTACAAGAATTATGTATTCATTCAAGTATTTAAGTGACAACAAACATGTCATGTCTACTGCTAAGCATTGGGAATGCAACATTGAATAAGATAGACACCATCTGTCTTCATTGTAGTTTATCAGGGGAGATATATTAAACACATAATTATACAAATAATTACTTAAAATTGTGGTAAGAGCTGTGAAGGAAAAATAAGGAAAAGGAGAGGCAGTTTCCAACCATAGGCACTGCTGCTGGAAAGGGGAGAGGAAATTCCTGGAGCTGGCCAGGGTTGACTTGGTGTGGTTTGAGGTCCTTGAATTTTAGTTGTCTTGTGCGAAGGATACGGACATAAACAGAAAAAACGCTTTCCTCCACTAGTTAAATGAGCCCAAATTTAAAAACATGGGCTCACTGAAAGCAGGTAAATAAGTGCACAGGAATTTGTCTTATCTTTTTCCAGTGGCAGCGCTGCTGAGGTTTTTTATATTCATAGGTGTATCAGAAATGTAAACGTACATGGTCTCCATATTACACTCAAGTTACACATTTCCTGTGGGAATGTCAGCCATCTCCTGACACTTCCTTGGAAGTTTGGAGGTTTTAAGGCACAGGTTCTCAGATTATATTCCGCAGAATATTTTTTTTTTTCTAGCTTTATTGAGGTATAATTGACAAATTATAAGATATTTAAAGTGTATGTTGTGGTATTTTGATATATGCAACCATCTAGTTAATTAACGCATCATCTCTCATATTTATCTTTTTTTGGTGAGAACATCTAAGTTCTACTCTCTTAGAAAATTTCAATTCTATAATACAGTGCTATCAACTATAGTTAACGATGTTTTACATTAGATTCTCAGACCATATCCAGGAGAATCTTAACTGGAAATGGCACAGTGGTTATGAACTTGGGCTCAGGGTCAGACAGACAGAGGTTCAAATCCTGGCCTTGAGCAATTTAGACAACTTCCCTAAGCTTCAGTTTCTTTCATTGTGTGTGTGTGTTGGGGAGGGTTAGGGGGAAGCCGGGGGTGGGGGCTGCAGTGACAGTCCCGGCCCCTTGAGCTGTTTGGAGTAAATGCCATCAGGAGTAAATGCCATCATGCGTGGAAGACTGTTAGTACAGTGCCTTGCACTGAGGCCCCAAGGAGTTTCTCAGGAAATATTAGCTCGTTAGTCCTAGTGCCTGGAAGGATCGGTTAGAGTAGCTGACAAACTGTCTTTTCAAAGCTCTTGGGGAAGTTAAATGGTGTCAAATCCTTTTAAATCTTAGAATAGGGTCCCATCTGAGGAAGGAGAAGAAAACTCCCTCACTCTGCTTTTTAATGGGCACATGCTGATAGGATTCAGAGTTTTGGCTAAGTACTTCTTAATATTGCTTAATTTATCACTGTTTAATTACTATGTAGCCTAGGATACCGACTACCAATTTAATACCTTTTCCTCCATTGGAAAAAAAATTATTCATATTGCCAAAATAATCGTTTATAGATTAAAGTTTTAAAAATGGAGGTACTATATTTAAAAGTGACACATTTGTGTGCTAAATGTATTCACATTTTAGCTAATTAAAAATATCATAAGACCCATTTTCTGGGGGCAGTTTTGATATTCCCGTGTTTTGGGAGGCATTTAACTTGTGCTTGGTGACATTGTCAGGACCAAGCTATAGATCCAGCAGGATCAAAGCATTCGTGCTTCTGAAGGGGCCACAGTCGGCTTTGCCCTGTTGGAGAAATGAATCAGTCTGTAGATGCCCACTTGTGTGCGTTCCAGCTCAGAGCAGACCAGGGAGCAGACTTGCGTAATGAGCTGCTCATTGACATGGGATTTGTTTCTCTTGAAGCAGGCTCTTGATACTAAAAAGAGAAGAAAAAGCGAAATGTTGGGAGTGCACAAATTTGGATGATATTCTCACCTTTGCACAAAATACTCTTAGATCTGTAAGAGCTTCGTTGTAGGAAAATTAACCTCTTTAGGTTGGAGTTGGCTTTTTGCCTACTTTGCTTTCTTTGAAAGTCCTTGAGAAATGATTCCCTTGCAGTGAAATAGAAAACACCTAGACTGTAGAACCCATCGTTCTTTTTTTTTTAATTTATTTTTAATTTATTTTATTTTTTAAAGATTTTATTTATTTATTTGACAGAGAGAGAGACAGCTAGGGAGGTAACACAAGCAAGGGGAGGTGGGAGAGGGAGAAGCAGGCTTCCCGCCAAGCAGGGAGCCCGATGCGGGGCTCGATCCCAGGACCCTGGGATCATGACCTGAGCCGAAGGCAGACGCTTAACAACTGAGCCACCCAGGCGCCCCTGAACCCATCGTTGTTAGTGGTGTTGTGATATGCACATCAGTTCTTTGGGGCATATGGGATAAGAGTTAAAAAACACTTGATTTTCCTTTGATTGAATGTTAATTTTAAAATAATAGTCATGTTTTACCAGTTGGCTCAGATTTCCCCTTTCGGTTCCCTTATATTCATACCTAATAGTAATCTTATTTCTTAAGATTAAAGTGAAAACTGGTTAGTAATGTATAAAATTCTATTTCTTAAGACTGTGATATTCTGGCGACTTTGCTATTAGTGACTTGATACAAGTGGTAAATTACGGTTTCCTGGAAAGGTCACATTTCCATTGAGGGCCCAGAAAAAGTTGTAGTGTTCTGATTGGAATATTCAAGCCCCTGTTAAAGGGGGTGTTGTTGCCGGAGCGATGAAAGCATAGATGGGGTGAGAGGTCCTTTACAGTGTGTGCCGAAAGTATTCTTTTAAGTAGGGAGTGTTGGTTTTTATTTTTTAAATGTTCTAAAATGGGGCGCCTGGGTGGCTCAGTTGGTTAAGCGACTGCCTTCGGCTCAGGTCATGATCCTGGAGTCCCGGGATCGAGTCCCGCATCGGGCTCCCTGCTCGGCGGGGAGTCTGCTTCTCCCTCTGACCGTCCTCCCTCTCATGCTCTCTGTCTCTCATTCTCTCTCTTGCAAATAAATAAATAAAATCTTTAAAAAATAAAAAAATAAAAAAAAATAAATGTTCTAAAATGCTGATGGTAGCCTTTGACTTAAAAGTAAGCTGAAGCTGTATTGTACTTCCAGATTCTGTGGGAGTTTAAAATAGTATGGTGCCAGATATTTACATATTTTGAGAATGACTACAGGTGGCTGGAACAAAATAGATTAACACAGACTTGCTTGAAGGTGGCGGTAGTTTCCTTTGGAGACTCACAAACAGCCATCACAGCAGCTCCTGAGATGTTCCACAGCATGGTCGTCTTGGTCTGGCTTGCCAGCTTCAGGTTTCAGTTACAGTTTTGCATATTTGCTTATTGGACCAGAAGAGAAAAAAACGCTAACTGGGTTTGCTTCCCTCTGCTCTGATCCTTCTGTTTCTTGACTTGCAGAACACTGAGCCTGTTGCAGCTGCTGAGAGCCTGGCTGAGGTACCTGAACATGTGCTTCGAGGACTTCCAGAGGAAGTGAGGCTTTTCCCATCTGCTGTTGACAAGACTCGGATTGGTGAGGACCAGGGTCCCAGAAGGAGACGGGGAGGGGATGGGAGAGCCACCTTTATCCAGGCATCCTTTGGGAGCGTTTAAGGTAGGGAGCTCATCATCAAAGCGACAGATTTACACTTAGACTTGGAAGATTATGTGGAATTTCTGCATTTTCCAGTCAAGAATCCAGGGTGGACATAGATTATAAAACTAAACCAGAAATACCCACACGCCCACCTACCATCCTTTGTGACTTAGCCCGAGTATTTCCTTCCACTGTCTCCTCGGGGCTCTTCTTCCTACTGAGTGTATTGTTCCCTCCTCTCTGATTTCACTGGGACTTGAGTGTGAGTATGCTGTTATATTTAATTCCATTATTTTGTATTTGTTTTCACATCTGCCCCTTTTATTGACTGTGTGTGCCTTCATTTCTTACTTACCTCTGTCTCCAGTACCTGACATGTTCTGGACCTCAGTAGGTGCTTGAATGAATGACGACCTGAGTGTATCTGAATGCTTCTGGCTGGATTTTCTCATCGAATGCAAACCCAGCTTTTATGTATTTGGTCTTGTTTTTGTGCCCTAATCTTTAGACAGAAGGCTAATAAGGAAGTAAATTATAAAAATTTAGTCAAAGTACCGTTTTGGAATATATCATGTTTGTATCCCTTTTTGTTTTTAAGATGTATTTCTGATATTCCAGCTTATGTGTATGTGTGTGTGAATAAATTGTTAATAAATGCCTTTCCTAATTCTCATCGGAAAATTTTTCACTAAGTCACTTGAGCACTTGCCTTGCATCATTCACATGAAAGTGGTTGATTGTAGAGCTCCACTAATTGATTGTTAGCTCTGTTATCAAATTGGATTCACAGACCTACAGAAGAGTGAAATTTGAACCTCCTAGCTGGACAGGACTGGCTCAGCCTCCACCTTCCTTCTGTGCATCTTCTGAGAGCAGAAGATGAGGGAACGTGTCCAGAGGGCTTTTGTCAGTGGGCGTCACCTCTGGGTGCTGGTTCCTTGACTCCAGGTCTGTCTCCCGCCATTTTGCCCGCTGGTTCTTCAGCCTGTGTGCCTGCCCTCTGGTCAGTGCCTAGAGCCCGGAAACGGCCGAGGAATACGGCGGAGCAGCGGCACGTGTGACTCTGGGCCGTTTGAAGTTCTGCCAAGTGAGTTGTTACAGCCCCTGAGGTTTCAGGAGACTTAGCTGGAGAGGAGAGGGTGTTGCACTTTGAGCAAACAGACTTCAAAAATACCATTCATAAATCGGCATTTCCAAACCTTTATAAAAGCAATTCATTTTCATTGGAGACCATTTGAAATCTGCAGAAAAGTAGAAAGAGGAGTTTAAAATGATTTCTAGTTTCACTCCTTTCTCATCTTTTTTCTCTTTAGTTGTGATTGTGCTCTTCTCCGGGTATTTGTGATTGTACCATCTGGTTAATTTTACATGTAAAAAATAGAAACAAATGTAAAACATTTCTTTCCTACTTACAAAACAAAGGTTCTTTACAGACTATTTGGGAACTACAGAAGAATATAAAGAAGAAAAATAATCTTCGTCGAAGACTTGATTTCATTTGACTTCACTTGCTCTCCATTGATCTAACATTATCTTGCTAGCCTTTTAACTTTTTTGTGAAACAGAGTTCACTTTAATGCTTCAATCTTTAAAATAACCACAATAACATTATAAAAATATTGGTTTTATTTTCCAGGTGTCTGGGCCACTAAACCAATTTTAAAAGGCAAAAAGTTTGGGCCATTTGTTGGTGATAAGAAAAAAAGATCTCAGGTTAAGAATAATGTGTACATGTGGGAGGTAAGAAAGAATTCTGGCTCCTTGTTTATCAGTGTTCTGTACATTTTTTAAGAAATCATTCTATTCTCTCAGGATTTGACATTTTGAAATTAAAAGTCATCTTCATGTGTTTTTTTTATTTTTTATTTTTAATAGTTTTTTTTTTTTAAAAGAGTTTATTTATTTATTTGAGAGAGAGAATGAGAGAGAGAGAGCATGAGAGGGGGAGGGTCAAAGGGAGAAGCAGACTCCCCACTGAGCAGGGAGCCCGATGCGGGACTCGATCCTGGAACTCCAGGATCATGACCTGAGCCGAAGGCAGTCGCTTAACCAACTGAGCCACCCAGGCGCCCTCTCATCTTCATGTGTTCTTTAACATCAAGAATATACATTTTTTACTACACTTGATCTTAGCCAAAAGGTCAAGACGTGAAGAATATATATTTTTTAAAGATTTATTTATTTTAGGGAGAAAGTGTGTGTGTGTGGGGGAAGGGCAGAGGGAGAGGGAGAAGGGAAGCAGACTCCCTGCTGAGCCAGGAGCTGACCTGGGGCTTGATCCCACAACCCCGAGATCATGACCTGAGCCGAAACCAAGAGTTGGGTGCTCAACCGACTGAACCACCCAGGCGCCCCTCAAGAATATTTTTATTAAAGAGAAAATGTGTTTCTTTGGACACAGCTGCTGTTTACATTTGTCTTTTGAAGCTGCTTGGCTGTCCTCAACAATAAATGTCAAATCCCCTTTTTATATTACCTTGTTCAGGGTGTTTTGCAGGATAGCCAAGACTTTGGTCTGTCACTTTGCAGGCTTCCAGATAGATACCATAAAAGACACTCCGCGGTGGCCACAAATAAAACACTGTTAGGGTCTTCTCTGTGTTTTAGAAAATAAACTCTGTGTTGCTGGAATATTCAGAGTTGGATATATTTAGCACATGGCACATTTATATAGTGCTTTGGACTCCTCAGAAGGCTTTAATTTTGTTTATTTCACGTCCTCACGAGGATGCTGGAGGACTGCGCAGAGCATTAGCATATTTCTTAGAGAGGTGAAGCTGTCAAGGGCAGAGGTGCAGTGCTCCTCCCTGTTGAGAGTGGTGTTGATGCAGAACCAGAACCCATGTCTCCTGCCTGACAGTGAGGCATTTAAAAGTGTTTCATTGGATTGCCTGGCTTCAGATCCTACCTTTAGCTTTGTGACTCTCTGGGTACTTAACCTCTGGGCCCCAAAACCCTCAATTTAAAAATGGGGTTAATAAAAAATACCTCATTAAGATAGCCGTGAAGATAAGGCAGGTTGTTACTGTTTGCTGGAGCACTGCATGCAAATTCAGCATTTAGTTCAGATCAGGTGTTCTGGGGAAGCTCCGTATGTTCTGATAGGATCTCAGTTGGTGTGACTCCTTTTCAAAACAAGTGAAGTTTTTCGGTGGTTAGAAAAGCATTTCTATCAGATGGTCTTAAATTGACTCACATCTGTTTCACATGTAAACATACACAGGCCTAAAAATAAAATCTGCCTAGGAAATGTCTGGATACTTTCCATCAAGAAGTTCTGTGACACTTGTGCATCTGAGGTATGTTGCTGTTGTTTTCAGTGTGACCAGCAATGTTTCTTAACTTGAAGATTCCTACAGTTTCTTCCAGTAATTTTGAGTTTGTTTGTTGTGAGTCCCTTACAATAAATCTGATGACAGTTAACCCAAGGGGCCTTAGGGAATGAGGATTTAGCATGAGAATAATCACAGTATGCTTTTTCACTACTTCTGAAGTAAAAGAGTGCTATATTTGTAGAACTGCCCAGCCAAAAAATGATATTAATTACTCAAGATAACGCTTGAATGATTAAAAATGTCTTGACCACAAAATTATGCCCCCAAATAAATGGTATTTTTAATTTTAGAAATTTCCCAAGGGAAACTAACAAATATGTTCCACCAGGTTAGCGCTAATCTTAGTGAGGATAATGTCTGGAAACCAGGAAATGCATTGTCTAGTTCTGTGTATATAATGCTAAGCTTGAACAAATGTCATGAATATTAATATTACACCTAAGTTTATTGTACCTATTTTACCCAACGTAACAATTGGAGAATTTTGGGCATAGTACATAAATTATTAATAGTGTCTTTTGTAGATTAAGCTTCATTTGTATTGAAATTCATATGTAGTATAGGTTTATACTCAGCTTGATGAATGTTGTAATTTGGAGTCATGACCTATTAGGGATTTGACTTCTACTTATAAACGCATTGCTACTGCGTTGTTAACTTAAGGTACTTGACTTGGATACCACTACAGTTGGTGAATCTTATGACATTGCCAAGTTCTTGTTAGATTTAAAGATTTAGTTCTTGTCAAGGCTGGCTTTTCCTTCTTGCGATTAAAAAAAAACAACTGGGGGCGCCTGGGTGGCTCAGTTGGTTAAGCGACTGCCTTCGGCTCAGGTCATGATCCTGGAGTCCCAGGATCGAGTCCCGCATCGGGCTCCCTGCTCTGCAGGGAGTCTGCTTCTCCCTCTGACCCTCCCCCCTCTCATGTGCTTTCTCTCTCTCATTCTCTCTCTCTCAAATAAATAAATAAAATCTTTAAAAAACAAAACAAAACAAAAAAACAACTGGATATCATTCAGATAGTTCCGACTACAAGGTATGTATTCCATACAGAAACCTGTAAGCCTTCTGCTCTGTTAAAAGTAGATATATCTGACATGTATATAGAAGTATGCATTAGGCAAAGTATAGGAAGCATCAATTAGAATGTATATATTTTAAAGAAAAAGAAACACCAAATAAAATTTAGTATATCCCCATTAATTTATTCCAACCTTGGTGTTAGCCTCAGACTTGCATCAGAATGCCTCTTATTAACGTAACAAACAGCTTATCATTAAAATCTCATCTTGGCATTTGTTCTTCCATTAAAGCCCCTTAAGACTGGCTTATCTTTTAGCAGCCTGGTCTCTTGCCCCAGCTAGAACTCCATTTTAAAGCTAATCTAAGACAAAGTGTTCAGTTGCTTTTCTTGAGCCCTTGATTATCTAACGCAGTCTTAAGTTCTCTAAGCTTTCACTGAAAACATGCCATTAAATCAGAAACAACAGGAGAGAAACAGTCAAATATCCTCAGGGTGAATGCACAAAACAGTCAGGTTCTCCTAAGAGGAGAGCATTCTTTGAGCAATTTCTGGAGAGGAACTGCTTGCTAGCCAGCTTAACTGCTGGACTCCGGTGTGATACTTGCTGTGAGTTCCCCCCACCCCCACATGCTGAGCCATCTGCAGTATTCTCACCTCTTCTGACAGAAGCCTTTCAGATTCACTTCCATGGGTCTCAGATCGCTTCCCATGAGATGAACTTCTGAGTTGTTTGCCTGTGAATTGTTCTGATAAGTTTTTTTTTAATAGACTATTTTTTAGAGCAGTTCTATGGTTTTTTTTTAGAGCAGGTTCATGGCACAATTGAGCAGGAAGTACAGAGAATTCCGCACACCGCCACCTCCCTCCACTATCGCAGCAGAGCGGTGCGTTTGTTAGACATTCGAGGGACCTGCACTTACGCAGCATTATCACTTAAAGTTCATAGTTTTCATTAGGGTTCATTCTTGGTGTACATTCTAATAAGTCTTTTTAAAATTATAAATGTAATACATGCTCATTGTAAAGTAATGTAAACAGTACCGAAAACTATAAACAATAAAGTAAAAATCATCTGTGAATATTTTGGTGAACATTCTTCTAAGTCTCTGCTTCTGTGTCTCTGTTTTTCTTCTGTCTCTTACGTACACTGGTACATATACAAACACCATATATAGACACTTCATGCAGTTGAGATCAAACAGCACATGCAGTTTTGTGACGTGCTTTTCTCTTTCAGTGTGCTGTAGACATATCCGTGTCAGATCGTTTCATCTGCATAATCATTTCTTATGGCCCCCTAGGATGCCATTGCATTCCTTCCACTGTTTAACCAGTTGAACATTTAAATAGTTTTAATCTTTTTATGATATTAACAGTTCTTCCAAATATGAAGCTCACTGTTATATATTTGTGTGCTCACTTGTCTGATTATCTTCTTAAGATAAATCCTGGAAGTATAATTGTTAAGTCCAAAGTTATGTACATTTTAATCTCTGGTGAATTTTGCTAAGAGACCTCCAGAAGGATTGCACTGATTTACATAGCCACCAAAAGTACATATTTTTTCCTAGCTTTTTAAAGCGAGTATTGTTAATCTTTTTCATAGTGTCCCCCCTTTCCCCCCGCCTCCAGGCCATTTCTTATAAATGAAAACCAATAGTTCACTGCTTCTATTTGCATGGCATTCATTTCGGCAACGACTTTTGAGTCAGGAATGGCGGGAATATGTAGAATTGTGTTTCAACTAAAATTGGTAAGTTATTTCTCTATAATGAGAGGACTTTAATTATTTAAAGAGGTGAATAACTTCTTATCGGTCTGCACTGTTAGCATTAGATGTTAGCAAGTGCATTCTCTAGTCTTTGCTAGCTCAACAGGTCTAATTTCAGATTATTTCCAGGTTAAAAATGGAGGCAAGACAGAAGAGAGTAGAGAAGTCAGTCAGCTGATCCTGTAGAACCTTTTTCCAGAAAGTATGAATCAGCTCTTCTTTCCAGCTTCTCACCTGCACCAAAGTAGTACCAGAGGCAAAGACCTGAGTCACATGGAAATGCACCTGCCACCTGTTCCTTATAGCCCTGCAGCTACGAGTGGTTTTTACATTTTTAAGTGGCTTAAACAAAAAAATGTTTCGAGACACATGAAAATAATATGAGATTCAGATGTTAGCTCATGAATCAAGTTGTATTAGAACATAGCTGCACTCATTCGTTTGCATGTTATCGATGGTTGCCGTGGCCCTGTGGTGGCAAAGTTGAGTAGTTGTGACAGGGCCCGTATAGCCTGCGAAGCTGAAAATACTTATTGCTGGTTCTTTACAGAAAAAGTTTGCTGAGCCCTGGTCTCAGTATGTAGAAAGGAGAAGCACTGGGAGTGAGCAT